CTCCCCCTTCCCAGGAGTCGTACAGCCCCAGCCGGACCCGCTCGCCCCTCGGCCGGAGGAGCCTGGCATCGGAGAGCTCCGAGCTGTCGGGGGACCCGCTGGGGCGCCCCGGCTCCCCCCGGACCCCCCTTTACCTCCCGGGGGAGGATCGGGCCCCCTCGCCCCGACCCAAGGTGCTGGCAGTGCCCTACGAGGGGCTGGCGCTGCCCAGCCCGGGGGGCCGAGCCCCCTCCCCTCGTCCCCATCGCCCCTACGAGTTCCTGGGTCTCGGGGGGTCCCCCCGGCCGGGTGAGGGGGGGGCCGTGTTCTTCCCTGAGCGGGCGCCCTCGCCCCGGCCCCCCGCGCCCCCCCCCTACGAAATGCACGGGCTGTACCCCTCCATCAGTAGCCCCACCGTCGCCTTCCGGGCACAGGGTAAGGCCACGGCGGGAGGGGGACACGGTGGGGACAGTCTGTGGGCTCGGGGGGGGAGGGCTGGTGTCCCCCTCCTGGGGTGCTCCTCTCCCTCCTTGGGAAGCCCCACTGTGAGACACCGCTCCATCTCAGGGTGTTCCTGAGCCACCCGGAGTGTCCCTATTCCCCCAGTGTCCCCAGTCCAATCCTGGGGTGTCCCTGTCCTTGGGTGACCTCATCATGAGGTCTCCCCCATCCTGGGGTGTCCCCATCCCGTCCTGCAACGTCCTCGTCATGGATTGTTCCCCCCGTCCCAGGGTGTCCCCAACCCAGCGTGACTCCATCATGGGGTATCCCCCATCTCAGGGGGGACACCCCACGTCCCAAGGTGCTTCTGCCCCATCCCTGGGTCTCCCCAACCTACCCCGGCCTGTCCCCGTCCCGGGGTGTCCTTAAGCCATTCCTGTCACCGGCTGCTCCCTCCCCACCCTGGGGTGCCCCCATCTATCCCCTGCACCCCAGCTTCAGGGTTTGAGGGGACGGGGTGTCCAGGCTGTGCTGGAGGGGGCGTTCCTCCAGGCCCTGTCCCTGTGTCCCCCCCCTCAGATGACCTCATGATCAAGCGGCGGCCACAGAAGAGCTGGAACGAGTCCGACCTGGACATGGCCTACGAGAAGAAACCCCCTGGCTCGGGGGGCTACGACCGTGAGCTGGGGGGTGGGGGGGGCAGAGGTTGGGGAGCACACAGTGGGGCTGGGAGGGCACACGGAGGGCTGAGGGAAGCCAGGGCTGGCATCTGAGGTGGCTTGGGGGCATTAGGAAGGTTTTGGAGCCGAGGGGGATGTGTTTTGAGGAGCAGGGGTGGAGTAGAGCTTCCAATGGGGACGGGGGATCCCGGGGCTACCGAGGGGGCTACTGAGGGGGCTACTGAGGTGT